TCCGGAACAAGCGAGAGTCATGGACATCTAAGATGTCAACTATTCTTTCAAGAAGTTTTCATAGTATTTAAACCATACACGCCTAAGTCCATTTTTTACCTCAGCAAGCTTCACCGGATTCATGAGAATGAGAGGATAGGGTGGTTTTCGCAGAGACTTCGATAAACTCCAAGCCCCCATTTGATGATCAAGACCGATGTAACCCATGGAGGTGACGTCATAGTTGTAATTGGCCGAGTCAATAAGACAAGGGAAAAGTAAGCACTCAACCGGTACAACAATCTCGTGCAGTCGGGCCATCGTGGTGGCCACGCTCGAACGTTGTATGGGATCCGATGAGGTAAGCGCATCGAAGTAGGTCGACCGGAAGTAAATTTATCGTCGCACTAGTCGAAATGCGTGGGTTTAATGCGTATATACATGGACAAGGACGCTCTTCATTTCTGCTCGTTGGGGAAAGCGTGTCAAGTAATGCCTTATACTACAGCATTAAGTTTCAAAGGGTATACGCACGATTTAATTTGTGCTTGTTTATTGTGGACGAGGTTGTACATCCATTTTCACACATAACTCGATCATTATGTGTTTTGTGCTTCTATAAGCTTTGATGAACTACCCATTCCGTAGTTTTTACATAATATATACACGTACATAATATGAGGAGGTATGACGAGATGTTTGCTCATGGGGATGGGTCGAGCGTGTAATACATTAATGGATGTGAAATTATACGTTACAGTCAGATCATGCATACGTTATTATGTACATGTTTTCGTCTCCGTATGCATGACTGTGTTAACGAATAAAATTATTTTGTGTCCGACTTATTATCTGATTTGGAATTCATACAATGAACGAGTATCAGCAATGGTCTTCGAATGACTAAAACCACCATTAAAGAAGAGGAAACCATCAGTGCAAATACGTGAGGGTTTTGTGTGCCATAAGTTTGTCATTTATTTTTTTTAGCACCCTCAACGCAACACATAGTACATATTACCCATCTAGGGAGAAAAAATAAAGAAAGTCTTAGATTGCAGGGATTTGACATCCGAGGTGGAGTCGAGAGTATCAAGAATGCGATCTGAGGCTTTTCTTGTTCCCTCCCGTGGGTTGTCCATGATTTTTCACACCAATCCTACGCCGAGAGAAGGAATTTTCTTCCCACGAAGTGCAATATGGTGAAAAGGTAATAATCAACATCAACGAGATGATATCCATCCCAAAGGTGAAACTTTACGTTGAAAATGTCAATGTTATTCATGATACTGTTGCACATTCTAATTTTCCTTCGACTAGACCGAAAGTATGACATTTTTTTTCTCTTTAAAACAAGGAAAACTATGATTCTTTCAACGAGTCTTCCTCAACCTATGTATCCCAATATCGTACACCGAACAGTTTCGATATATCCCGTCTGATCGCAAGCTCTTCATTTTCATACGTATGTTCCAAAGGAGGCCCAAGCAAGACGCGCACAATAGGTACTCTTGACGTGGAAAAACAATGGAGCTGGCATCCAAGTGCATACCCATCCAGACGGAAAAAAAAGTACAATCACCATGCATCATCCATAGACTATATCTGCCCGAAATTGCACGTCGTATCCATACAACTTTGGGTTTTATCACGTGCGCTCTCTAGCTGTACTCACGTCTTGGTACAGCTGGAATGAGAGTAGCAGCGTCTGGCACCCTGATACATAAGGGTTAAATTTTCATCTTTTAAGTATTTTTATTCGTTTGCTTTTAAAAAAATTGGGCTTTCAATTCCACGTTGGTTTGAAACGCCCAGGTTTACTGAGAGAGTAGATTTTCAATGTAAAAATTGTTATGCTTGGTACGAGAAAACACTTGGGTACTTAGTAAGTCAGGAGCGTGTGCAAAAGTAAGCTCCGAGTAGGGGTTGGAAATCCGAAAAGGAACGGATGGCAAAGGGGGTGGGTTGGCTGGAAACTCCATACTTTTGCTCTTCGAGCTACGTGTCTTGCCGAGCTCGGCGAGAATGAACCGTGGACGGGAGGCTTACAAACGTCCGGGGGGGTATGTCGGCAGCGAGTAGGTATACAGTTGTAGCGTCAGAGCCGGTTACGTGTGTACGAGAGTAGTGAACGAACGTATACGAGGTGCCTCTATATGTGGTTGGGAAAAGGCGAGCATCTGCGCTGGTGGTGGCGGCTCCACGCGCGTGGTATACTCACGAGATCAATAACGCGCCTATCGTCGGGCGGGGGGGCCCCTCGCGTTAAAAAGGTTTTTTTTTTTTACGAGTCTGGCAGGTGGAGTATCTATACGTGTAAGTTCACAAATGTCAGACAGATATTGCTCCGTTACATTTTTTTGCTTAGTGATTTCTTTTGTTTCCTTCCTACCACCACCTCCCGTCAGTCAATTGCTTGTTTTTTTTTTTTTTTTTTTTCATTTTAGAGAGAATCTCGCTGTTCCATCTGTTTTGTATTTTGCGCTGCAATCGCTTTATCGTGTTTCGCTTGCGCTATACGTATAGTGCTACGGATAAGCCTTTTGTCGGAATAAACCAGATTAGTTTGTTCTGCTGTTATAAGCAAAAGTGCGACATCTGCTATGGATTTTTTATTAAGATAACGTGCTTTTGCCTACGATGGACAAATTGGTAGATCCATTGATATGTACTTTTAAGAAATTTTTTAAAATTTTCGGGAAATTCCAATGGATTTGTCTTTTTATTTGGATAGCAAAAATATAAGTGGTCTACACATTTGATAGTAAAAACAGAGAGAAAAACTTTATTCGACTCAAGTATATCAAGTGTAGTACATCAATTATAATAGAAAAATAAAATGCATTGATCGTCAAAGCTAAGTAAAAAAAAGAAAAAAAATTTTCTGATCAATATTTACCAAGGCACTCGGTTGGTCTTGTATATTGGGTTTCTTAATAAGCCAAAGTATCTTTCTTGAAAATAAAAAAATAAAATAAAGTTGATATATAAATTATATTGCCTAAAAAAGTAATGGGTCGACAATGCTAACTAAATCCAGGTTATCACAGCCCATAAAGTTGTTTGTCGCTTCATTTTTTATTTTTTTTATTTCTCTTGTACGCCACAACTCTAATCTCTTGAAAGAAATACTATTGTAAGAAATACAAATTATTTAATCAAAATTAACAATGGCATGAGTGAATTTTCACTTACATCCACAAAATCAAAATTATATGAATGAAAAATTTTAGAATAACTATCCTTACTCATGACCAATTTGTATACTTAAGCTTTCAAGATTGTTAAACATCTTTTAGGCATGTTTTAATATTGATAACTTTTGTTTGAAAACAGAATGAAAACTCAAAAAACAACTTTCTCAAGAAATTGATACTGCAGCTATCAAAAAATGTTTTGAGAAATCAAAAAATCTCAGTAATGAAAGCAATAACCTATTTTAATCAATCTAAGTAGAGATACTCACTTTTTGATCCGACATGCGCGCTTACGTAGAAATGCACGACCTAACCTAAGCTTTGAGAAAAAAACTGTTTAGATTTGTGTGCCAATCTTAAACATTTGTAACAAGTTTATTCAACTTGTAGATTATTTTTAAATTTTACGGACGTTTTTCATTGTTTACAATCTTACAAACAGAACAAACATTGAGTAGCACTGCAACTGGGCAGGATCAATGAAGGGTAGCAAATTTATTAGATGATAAAAATAACTCAATTCATCCATTTTTAGTAATGATACAGGTTCATACTAAAACTTTATAACAATACCTTCAAAGTAACCCTTGATTCGAGATCTGCCGAGGGTCTTATCATTGAAATTTCATGTTTTTTTACTAAATTATTATTTCTAAACAAGGTATCAGACAGAAATGTTATTTCATAATTCATTATAAATCAAAAGTTTTCAAGGTACCAAATTCGAAGTAACAAGCATTTTCTGCGTCCAGCTGTTTTACTCAGTGTATGGCAATGGAAAAAAGGCAGCCTTTTCAACGTTTACCATTTTTATTAGAACTTTGTTACTTTATTGTAACTGTTTTGATGGTAAAAATAGTAACTAATTGAAAAAACTATCTACGTGACAATGTATCAGTTCAATCAACAATACTGAGTGATCCCCAGCATCATAATTTTTTTTTTCATTTCAAACAATGATGCGAAATAGTTACATTACTCCAATTGTCTCGCCCCGCTACTATTTCTGCTGCAAATTGCGCATTTACACGTTATCTGATTTACCCTTTCATTCAAACGAATTACGATACACCCAGTCGGTAGTCGTTCTCGTGGAACGATCCAACTAAACGTCCATCCGCTCACTCCGGGCTGAACTAAAAAATCTTCCAACTCGAGGCAGAGTGTACATTAATTATTCTCGAGTTTTCCTCTTCCTTTTCCCATCCTTCCCAACTCTATTGGCTAAAAAAAATTTCCAGTCATCGTGGTTTTATCCTCGGCTCGCATAATTAGCCGCGCTTCTACCTCGAGAGAAAAAAAAGATGGTCGAGGGAGAGCGAAAAAAAAGAAAAAAAGGCACGGTAAAATCGATTCCAAGCTGCTGGGCTCACTGCAGAAGGGAAAAGCAGAAATTCGTGGTAATTACACTGACCCACGTATTTTTCATCTCTACACAACACCCCGTTGTTCTTTCATCAATGTCTCTTTCTTTGAAAAAAAAAAAAAAAAACTCCTTTCGCCCAAACGATCTTTAGCCCTTCATGATCGAATGAAAAAAAAAAAAAAAAACTGTTTAACTTGTTTTGACGAGCTTGTTACATCTACACCTACGATAATTAACTGTGTCGTTTTGAGGGAGGATGAACCGTGTCATCCCTGGAAGAAAACAAACACAAAGGTAAGTATATACTCGGGTGTGCGTCGAGAAACACCTCTTGGCCTCAAAGCCAAAAGAAAAGCAACGGTTCGCTCGCAGTCGGGTGTACAGGGGGTCACGTACAACGGGGACAAAGTAATATCGTGTATGTATGTCACTTTGCTATTTAAATGTCTCTTACGTACCTTGATAAGGAAAACCCAACGGGTCGACTAGCTGCACTAAAAAACTTTGGACACTTCTGCCGAGCTCCGTGTACAACGGGCGTCGCACTGACTCTTGGCTCACCAACTACAATCGCACTCTATTTTGCTTCGATCGAATCTACTCTTCCGATTTTCTTGACGATGCTTCGCCAGTGAAATACATCAAGGAAAACCTTCACTCGTCAACGTACCACTGGAGCAATGTAATGCACGACCAAGGAAGGAAGGAAGGAAGGGAGGGGGAGGAGGTAGACCGTGACGGCTGCGGCGATAACGACGTCCTCAAACTCGCGTATTCACGCGCGCGTTTACCCAGGCACAATTAATTTTGCAGACAAAAGTTATTGTTCCTCGCGTTCGACTCTTTTGCCAGCAGAGTCGGAGGAAAAAAAAGATTACAGCCAAACACAAGTTTCTCGCCCCTGCTGCTACTGCTGCTAGTCTGGCGTGGTATATTGTGTGTACGTGCAGTGAGCAGCGCGAGTGGAACCCCCGCCTCCCACCCTGTAGCGGCAGTGGCAGTGTGGCCTCCGCTATAGCAAAATATCGACCATTTTCCCTCCCAGTGGTACACAGTGGCTGAAGTCGCCGAAGCAGAAGGAGAGAGAGAGAGAGCAAAGTAGTCGCGCAAGCTCGACGAGCGAGGGTGTACGTATACGAGGGGAGTCTGGGTGCGTGGGAGGCTGCAAGGGTAGTGGAGAGAAAAGGCTTTTTTGGTGGCACGAGGAGGGTGGGGGGCGGGGAAAAAAAATAATCGAGAGTGGAAAGAAGGCCAGAGAAGGAGGGAGCTGACGTAAAATGTGTGTATACGTGGATACGGTGGGGAAGAAGAGCTTTAAAGGAGCGCTTGCGCAGCTTTAACCAGACCGCATCAATATAGGTACTACCGAACATGTGGCTGTTACAACAATCGTATACCAAGGTGTATATCTACATGATGGATGCACTATCGTTTTCAATACAAACAATTTTTACTTACTTTGACATTGGCCGTTTTTAGCTGTATACAAATTGTTTGTAAATATTTACACGTCGCTGAGTGAGATTTTTCAAGTCTATCATACTTTTCGATGATGGCCATTTAATACCAAAGTTCATTGTATTCGTGAATCGAATACTTTTGTCTATAATGTTCATGAATTATACTCTAAAATCATTTCTATGTTATTTTTGTCCATGTATGGCTATTTAAAATAATTCTTTGATTCCATGAATTTTTTTTTCTTTAAAAGGTTTATGGATTTTTAAACTTCGTGTTCAAGTAGAGTAATCTAGTGCCAAAAATCACGCACTAACGACAACTTGTGTATATATTTAACATTTGATGGTACTGTCACGTACGATAGCATTGCGTATACATACAACACAGTTGTACGGTTTTCTCTGTATTCGTTGACATTTAATACCATATCGTATAATATAAAGTGTGTCGATAAAATCGTCTTTACCATTCTAGTTTGAGCAAGCTTTTTAATGCAAGTATAACGAAATTTATCAATAATGTAAGTCACCTTTAAATGTATGAAATTCTTAATAATTTTTATAATTAATATATACAATTTCACGTTATTTACGAAATAAATCTTCAATTAAACAATAGTTATTCAACAGGGCTTCACTGTTCTCAATCTTTATTTTTTAAACTGTAATATGTTGAAAAAAAAATTCCAAAAAATAAAAATTACGTATTTTGTTTTAACCGCTGGAGAAGCGTTTTTAGGTGGTGAAAACAACCCTTAAAAATCACCATTGAAAATGAGTTTCTCTTAGCTCTTCAAAGGTATTGAATATTGATTAAATTTAAACGAGAAATTGTTTTTTTATGAAATAGCAGTTCTATGACACTTAGTTGGACCCTAAAGGGTTGTAACCCCTAGTTCTTATTCATCTTTTTATCCTGGCAAATAATTTATATACTTTTTTAAATATCTGTTTTTTATCTTTTAAGGTGAGTGTTAATTATTAGTATNTCATCATCATCATCATCATCATCATCATCATCATCATCATCATCATCATCATCATCATCGTTATTACTTTCTTTTTTTGTATTATTACTGTTGATATTATTATTACTATTTTTATTATTATTACGATTGTTATTATTATTGCATCGATACCATAGGTAGTTTCAGTAAAAGAAAAGAGTTTGTTTCAATTTTTGATGAGCCATTGCTACAAAATTGTTTATTTCTACTTACATTGGATTTTCTACCTTTAATGCAATGTTCTCCAAAAATTATTTCATTGCAGAAAATCTTTAATAACACAAACTTGAAGTGTCATAAAAAATATTGGTACCTAAAACCACAGAAGTTTTGCAGCAGACTCATTGTATTACCCAGAAAAAATCGCGCGTAATCAGTACACATTACGAAGTGAATGAATTATATAAATCAAAAAAAATTTATTTATCTCATTCTTATCAGAAAGTTATATTTTCTGTTTAACAAAGTATTTTTTTTGGAACTGCGTATTTTTGACATCAGTTATTACATACTTTTTAAATTAATTTAATTTTTTTCAGTAAAAGAAAATACTTGCAGAATAAGAGTGGAGAAATTTTTCTTTCTTAAAAAAGAGTTGTGTTGCTGAGCAAAGTGTAGCTTGTACGCATTACACTACGTTAACGAATAAATAGTTAAGTATCAGTTGAATTAAAGATATAATTAACGTGATGTAACATTATTTTACAAAATTTATACTAATCCTTAGAGCCTCAAGATTTGAGTCAGAGATATGTAGTTTTTACGTATAACAACATGCTAAAAAAATTAAAAATATAGCAAAGACTAACTAGGCAAGCAGCATCTTCTTGTGATTCAGAAGTGTAATGATAAGTAGGGTGTAAATTGAAACTTTAATAATTAAAAACCAAAAAGTATAGCTGTTGCGAACTAACGATATTTTACAATATTTATATTATTCTTTAGAGCCCAACGCTCTGAACGTTGTATTCAAAAGTTTGAAGTATGAAAGTCAAAATAATATAGAAAGCCAAAGTATAATTTTCTTAAATGTCTTTGGACCGAAAGGCACAGCTATACAGCAAATGATTTTGTTACTTTTAAAATAAACAAACTCTATTACCATTATAAGCTAAAGATTTGAAATTCCCACAATTAGAATACGCCATGTCCAGCCTCGTGTAAGATATTCTCTTCTTTTAATGATTCATCGAATCATCGAGTTTCGGCGATCGTAAATGCGTAGAGTGACACATCAACTCTGCCAATAAGGAGTTATAGCTTTCTTTTGTGGCATTGTATTTAAAAGTGAAAAGAAGTAAGGTACCTTAACTATAATACGAGGTTACTTTATACTAGTTGAACTAATGTTATTATACAATTGTTGCAGCATTCATACCGCCAAATTAATTATTTTACTTGTATAGTGTAAGCAGAGCGAAACACACAATAGAGTTTCAGATTATAAGGCACTCGTAATATTTGTCGCGAAACCGAAATACACAACAAAGTAGTAAAACGAGATAAGGGTTCGCTTTGTAGTTTTTGGTGCCTCAAGTGAGCCTAGTCATGTTGTAGCTGTTCGCACGGATAACGACATAACAAAAGAGGATTTGAAAATTTTCGTTTTACTGCTGTGCAAGAAAACAGACGTCAAATATAAACTTTTTGCCACTGTAATCGTAAGTTGAAGAGATAAAAACTTTTACTATTAAAATAAAATTTTGAGGTCTACTATAAATTTAAGGACTACGGTAGTATTTTTCTTATACAAAACATTTAGCATTGATGGTGTTAAAAATAAATTGCTGTCGAGAACATTCCATATGGTTTAAAAGTTGGCAGCCTCATATTTGTCTAAATTGGAATTTGAAAACTCAATCATGTTGTTATATGCATAAAATAATTACGGTTTTCGTGAAAAGTACTATTTATTATTAGATAATACAATTAGTAATATTAACCATATTATTTTCATTCTCTTTATTATTATTCTTATTATTTTTATTGTTAATCAGAAATTGTTTTTTGTTCTGTACCTCTGGTGGTACAACTAAGAGCGAGCATAGAATATATTTTAACATGTGTAAAAGATCCGGTAAAATTAGTATTATAAACGCAGTATAGTTTTTTTCATAAATTATATATTTTTCGAACTCTTTTATTCAGATATAACCAAGATAAAAACAACATTTTAAGGTTTTATTGCTGAACCGACCAACTTCCTTTACATTACATATTATTTATTCAAATAGTATTTGTGACTAGTTTTCAAAACCCTTACGTCCATCTATTGTAATGTATAAACGATTTTGTTCTTCCACTGTAAAGCAAATAATTTTACGTAAAAGCGCATTTGAATTTTCAGGAACTTCCTTGGCTTCCCACTAAAATATTCAGGTATAAACTGCACTAGCAAGAAATATGAAAAAAGTACAGTACAAATATTACCGCTTTCACTAAAGTCATAGTCAACACTTACTGGAAAATTTAACGGATTATAATACTTATAATGAGAGCCAATAAGATTAAAGATATGCAACATCTGATGTGAAAATATTGAAACAATACATTCTCTTGTGAAACTAAACTTGACGAATACATTCGAGCAGATTTATACTTGAGTCCATACTGTTGAAAAGCCATATAAATGTAAATTCTGTCAAAAATTTTCTACTTTTACACAGTATTTAAAACAGTACACTCACTTGCATACACACAAGAAGCCATTTCAATGTAAAATCTGTAGCAAATCTTTTTTTAAAATTATTTCATTTAAAAATACATACCATGAAACGTGATTCAAACTATGCGTGGTTCAAGTGCGACTATTGCGGTAAATCATATGCAAAGAAACAGTCTGTAAGGAAACACATTCTCGTCCATTTCGGCGAAGGGCTATGTGAATGTCAAATCTGCGGCAAATCTTTTCCTCACAGCCATAGCCTGAAAATACATACTCGTACCCACACAGGGGAAAAGCCATTTGAATGTAAAATCTGCGACAAATCTTTTTCGCAACGCAATAACTTAAAAATGCATATTCGTATCCATACGGGCGAAAAGCCATTTAAATGTAAAATTTGTGGGAAATCATTTGTTGAAGGCAGTGCACTAAAAAGGCATACTCGTATCCATACAGGCGAAAAGCCCTATGCATGTTGCATTTGCGGCAAGTCTTTTAGTCAAATATCTTACATAAAAACGCATAAACGAGTTCATACACGTGAAAAACCATATAAATGTGAAATCTGCAACAAATCTTTTGCTCAAAGCTGTAATTTAAAATTGCATACTCGTATCCATACAGGCGAAAAGCCTTACAAATGTACATTTTGTGATAAATCTTTCCCTCGAAGTTCTCAACTAAAAGTACATACTTTCATTCACAAAAGAATTAGTAACTGCTTTAAATGCAACGATTGCGGCAAGTCTTTTACTGATAAAAACAAGATCATAAGGCACCTACATACCCACATAGAAAAATCATGTGATTGCAAA